GGGGAATCAAAGATATCATCAGCATAATTATGTATTAATTATATACTTACCTCTTTAGCGTTCATCAGAAACGGTACACAAATTACTATACGGGTGCATAAATCTAATAATTTCGTTGGGTTGAACTTGTGTCGATATCTGTGTGTAAATAAACATAAAGAACATGCAGACAACTCTATAGTACATATAAGGCATGGAGACACCATACTTTATCTCACGATATAATGCGCTTTATTGCAAGTCGCAGCCTTATTTGTTCATACGTTTGACTTTTTTGTATCCATGAATACCGTTGGCCGTAATGTCTATACCGGTTTATACAATAATGTCTTAAAAGGAACAATAATCAGCAAGTCGACTCTTATTTCTGAAATGAACATGTGATACATTTGGTGTCCTGATAATATCGCCAAAGCATAAAAACCTTCTGCTATTATACGTAACCAGTGTGCAGTTGTATTCAGTAGACGTTTACGGCGACGCTATAGGCGACGTATAGCGACTTGTTCGGCGACTTTAGGCGGAACCTCGCGTTTTACGCTCGATAATTCTTGCACCGACGACACGAGTTAACGATTGCGTATTAGTTACAATGAAAGTTCGATAGCCAGCTATCAGTGACCGCGTCATAGTTGTTGCGTAGATAGCTAATGGCTATTAATGTATGTGTGTAATGGTGACAGTAATTTGAGCGGAGATTTACGTGCAACAAACAAACGGGCATCTAAATTACAGGTGACATAACTAACCTTGATGACACCTGCCATTACGAAGCTCCGTTATTTGGCATGATTTTTTATCATATGCATTTCTGAATTTCCTTACCTATTCGTGATATATAGACTATATGACAGATAAATGACGGATATATGACGGAGAGCAGGTTGCAGGTTCATCATCACTTTTACCAATGAGCCGTCCTAAATTAAATTAAATCTATCAAGAGCGCATTAAGTATGATACTTAATACTTAAATATAAGTATGAGAATAAGTATAAGTGCAAGTAAAAGTACAAGTACAAGTACAAGTATAAGTATACGTACACATGTTATACTTAATACAGTCTTGCATCTATCTATCTATTGCTACTGTGGCTGGCACCTTGCCACGCAGGGGCACGCGTAGAACTAACTAGTGCTCATAGGGTCTATGTCCCTCAGGGTATACCGGAACGTACCTTGGGTACGGTCCGGTATACCGTAACGTACCCAGGTCACTATTTGATATGGTTAGGGTTAGGATTAGGGTTAGGGTTAGGGTTAGGGTTAGGGTTAGGGTTAGGGTTAGGGTTAGGGTTAGGGTTAGGGTTAGGGTTAGGGTTAGGGTTAGGGTTAGGGAGTAGGCGTAGGCGACTCCCTAGACTCGTTAGTGGAGTAGGCAAGGTACGGTCCGGCATATTAGATAGTACCAGGGTACGTTCTGGTATACCGGACCGTACCCAGGGTACGTTCCGGCAGTACTCCGGGGGACATAGACCCTCTCAGCCTAACTAGTAGATGGATCTATTAGATAAACCCACTCTCATCACCAGACCAGTAGTAGATCGCCAGCAGTAGATGACACCAGACGTGTAGATCGTCATGTAAGCTGAATTTCTCGTGCCAAGTATAGGCTGCCGCCATTGCAGTATAGCGCCTTGTCAGTAAAATGTGACAGTCTGTAAACGCTGCAGCAGTTACTTGAGACCAGTGGCGTACGCAGGGGGGGGGGGTGTTTGGGGTGTTATGTATTTATTATAAATATATAATGAATAAGTTTTTAATTAGGGTTTATTAATTTTTATTATGTAATTACGTTACTTATACTTCATACAGTAATCGTACTTGTTACGTGTGACTAGCTGAACTAATCCACAATTTCAATTCACAAGTGGGCTAGTAGTCTAAACGGTAAACTTACGTAGAACGTGCAGCCAATGTTCATGAACCTGCAGGGTACAAATGTCTCCGGGCAATCTCCGGATATCTTGTCCTGGTGCGAACTAAGGTTCAGACGACGTATCTTCTGCTGACCGCACGCTGTGCAGGTGATCGGAAAGTAGGGACATTCCACCAAATGATGCTTCTGTGGGGGAAAATAATGGGGGATAACGTGAGAGCTACAGGATTAGACGGTCTGCGTGTGATTTGTATACATGTTATGCCG